TGTTGTGGTCTCAATATTTTTTCTTTCTCAAAATCTTGATTTAAAAGCTGTTTTCTCTAGTTTGCTCCTCTTTCTAGAGCTAATAAAAGCCAGTGATGAGCAAATTATTTTTTTCCTTGCTCACTAGCACTAGAATATCTTCATGTTTGTCAGTCACTGAGCACTTCCAAATCAGTTTCTGACTTTTAAAAAGGATGCTACAACTTTATTGACAGTATATTGTGACCTCGAATATGTTATAAGTTTCAGTGAGAGCCAACTTAACTTAAAGAGATCACACTTTATTTTAAGGTTTAATTCTTGCTATTAAGAAACCATTTACTTTGACCTTTGCCTAAAAAAATAAACTAATTTGCTGCTTATTAATAGTAAGGTAGTTGTTAAGTTTAGGTATTGGGTAGGATTAGGGATGTAGAATATTGTCATGCAGAATATGTGCTTTATAAGTACTAATAAACAGTCAATATGTTATTAATAGGCATGCTAATAAGCAACTATTTAATAGTGAGACTGGTCCCTGTACTAAAGTGTTAACCTTAAACATCTGCACAGCAACAGAATGATGTGTGACAGAGATCAATTAAATGAGTTGTGCCTGATCAGAGAAATGCTGAGCATAGTATAGATTTTCTCATGAGAAAGTCAAGATCAACACAAGTGTTATGCTGAAATGACAAGAAAATCATGATCATGAGAAAACAACAAAAATATTAGCACAAGGGCCCAGGTCTTATTATAAAATCTTCCCCTTTTGTATTGCTCAACAAAAGTTACACGCCATGTTACGTGTTTTTTTTTTTTATGTTTGAGTGAACCCTGAACACAGATACAGTATACGTGTGTGTAAAAGTGAAACTAGCTCTCACAAAACATTTGCACAGATAAGAAGACTTTAAGTTCTTATCTAAGATGCACATGGCAAATGCTGTGGTTTTACATGTTTGTAATAATTTTGTGTTATTTCTACGTCCGTCATGGGAAACAGTATTTATTCCCCCAATAAAGTAAATGAATGACTTTGCTGTCTGTCACATGCATATTCAGAGAGAGTAGTGCGCTGGGTGCAGACTGTGACCGAGCACGTGCAACGAGTGTCCATGTTCCCGCTGGGTGAGACAGACAGATAAAGACAGCAACACGTGAGGAGGAGTGGGGGATGTGGAGGTGAACAGTGACTGACAGCGAGTGTGAAAGCAGGCACGATTAACCAGCCAAAGACGGCCAAGAAACAAGTTGCGGCTTGGGTCTTTATATCTGGTTGTACCGCAGACAAACAGCACACACATGTATGTTTCTGCACACCTGCTGTGTTTTTGCTTTTGCTCCTCCACATCAGCTCGCTTTTACACAGTTTCCTTCAGCTGTAGAAAGAGAGAAAGCCGTTAGGCCGCTGTTTTTCTTCTCTTCTTCTCCTCCAGCCTCCCCCTCTCCTCTACCATAGCATCAGGCCCTTTTGTCCAGCCAACACACACACACACCGCATGGCACATGCCAGGCAACCTGATATATCCTTTCTCAGAAGAGCCCTCAATGACTCCGAGCACTGCTGCTGTCTCACATTCAACACAAACACATCTGTAAAGCACCACAGCTTGGACTTACACTGTGGCCTGACCATGGCAAATAAACCGTATGTGAATCATTCCATGTCTCTTTTTGCTGCTTTGCTAAACTCCATTTACAAAAAATTACCTGTTCTGGGTAGATTTCTTACGAATTGTTGGCTCTTTCTGATTCCAAATTACAAGGCAAAAAGTGTAGTTAGTAACGTAATCCATTACATTACACATTTTAGGTAATATAATCACACTACTTTTTATCTAACTTATTTATTACATTGATTTAAATAGAATAATCTATTGATATAAAAATGCAAAGAAAAATAAAATATATTCCATTTGCTGTTATTAACAACATGAAGTGCATTAAACATTACATTACATCATAAAAAATGTAAAATTAAAAAACAACATCTTTTTAAAATAACATCAACCAGAATAAAACACTTACTAAAAAAAAATAATATTTTATTTGTTTACCTGCAGGTCATGTGACCATTAACCAACGTCAGAGAACCATAAACATGCAAATGTGATAATTATTAACTTATTCGCTTAAAATATGAGGGAGTACTTCAAGTAAATATTTTAGGTGAAAGAAGTTCTGCTGACAAAAAAAGCAATGTAAAATAAAAATGTAAATAAAAAAATGAATGTGTTCATCAGTAGTTGATGCAATGTTGAAATGTTGAGAAAACACTTCTTAAAACTGAAATGATTTTTATAAATCCAGTGGTCAAGTGATGTGTGGCCACCTGACTAGAGACTGATCTTTGTGTGAACGTCCTCAAAACTGGAAGACTTTCTGAATGTATATAAGCGGAAGGCTATTTTAGAAAAGAAAAAGAAGAATTAGGGAGAATCAGTAAATTATGAATAATTTATTGCTAGTGTGTAAATAATCATGTAATCAACAAAAAGTAACTGTAGTCTGATTCCAAGTATTTTAAAATGTCATTTAATCTAATTACAAGTACTTAATTTTTGGAATCTGATTACGTAATCCAGAATACATGTAATCAGTTACTATAGTATATAAATGAGATGTTTTATATTAGTCACTCAGACACATTAATCAGTCCTGTCACATTATATCAACATTGTGTTTCTGGCAGCTTTATCCCAGAATCATAACCATCAGTCCATGTATCATTAATCAATTCAGCGCATCGGTGTAAATCTTCAGACAACACAGCTGAAATTGACGTATTAAACACTGATGCACACGGCTTCATTCACTCAAACTGATCGAGGTTTCCTTGTTCCATACGTTGCCTTGATGTCAGCTTTTTAAATGCAGCTATTGCTCAAATGTCCACTGTCAGAGGTTAATTCCTTTCAGAGTAAACATCAACAAATATCTCATCCTCTCTCAAAACAAAGAACAGAGAGATGTCAAGACCTGCTCTGTTGTATACAAGTGTACAACAACAGGCAACAATAGTCTATAGCATGCAGTAGAAAAGGACTTCATACACTGTAAAAAATGACCGTGAATTTAATGGTAAAAGATTGTAAAAATGCTACTGTAAAAACCTGTTAAATGGTTAATGGTAAATTCCCCTACTATATACGGGGAAAAACTGTATTGGACATTATATGTAATTTTACGGTAGTATACCGTTTTTAGAAGTGAAAAAGACCGTATAATTTACAGTGAATAACCGTAAATTGACATTCCCAGAATTCCCTGCGTTACATTTCAAATTTGATGTTTTTTTTGTTGTTGAAATAACTATGTTTCTTCTTAAAAAATGTTGCTACCGTATTTTTTACAGTAAAATTCCAGCAACCACAGCTGCCGGTTCTTTACCGTAAATTTTACGGATTTTTTTTTTTTATTTACAGTGTAGCTTAGGAGTCCGTTAGCAAGCTATGCCAAACATCCCCAGGATCATGTGTGCTTTCCGGTGGATTTTACCGTGAACGCAGACTTGTGTGGGATCACAGAGAAAACACACACACACACACACACACACCGCATGGCACATGCCAGGCAACCTGATATATCCTTTCTCAGAAGAGCCCTCAATGACTCCGAGCACTGCTGCTGTCTCACATTCAACACAAACACATCTGTAAAGCACCACAGCTTGGACTTACACTGTGGCCTGACCATGGCAAATAAACCGTATGTGAATCATTCCATGTCTCTTTTTGCTGCTTTGCTAAACTCCATTTACAAAAAATTACCTGTTCTGGGTAGATTTCTTACGAATTGTTGGCTCTTTCTGATTCCAAATTACAAGGCAAAAAGTGTAGTTAGTAACGTAATCCATTACATTACACATTTTAGGTAATATAATCACACTACTTTTTATCTAACTTATTTATTACATTGATTTAAATAGAATAATCTATTGATATAAAAATGCAAAGAAAAATAAAATATATTCCATTTGCTGTTATTAACAACATGAAGTGCATTAAACATTACATTACATCATAAAAAATGTAAAATTAAAAAACAACATCTTTTTAAAATAACATCAACCAGAATAAAACACTTACTAAAAAAAAATAATATTTTATTTGTTTACCTGCAGGTCATGTGACCATTAACCAACGTCAGAGAACCATAAACATGCAAATGTGATAATTATTAACTTATTCGCTTAAAATATGAGGGAGTACTTCAAGTAAATATTTTAGGTGAAAGTTAGATTACTTTTGACCTAACTCATTTATCACAGTGATTTAAATAGGGTAATATTGTACCATATTGATATAAAAATACAGAGAGAGAGAACATATATTCCATTCGTTGTTATTAACTACATGATGTGCATTAAACATTACGTCAAGGTTTCCTAAACTGGTGTTCTTGAAGGAACTGCAGGGTGTTTGTGACATAAAAACAAATCAAAATAATAATAATAATAATAAAAAAAAAAACTATTAACATTTTTTTTTATATATTATATATATGTTTACCTGCATATCATGTGACCATTAACCAATGTCAGAGGACCACGAACATGCAGATGTGTTATTAACTTTAACCTTAAATTCTAATGGGCTAATCCAAGTACATATATTAGGGTGAAAGAGGTTCAGCTGACAAAAAAAAAAAAGGTTTGGGAATCCCTGCATTATATGTAAATGAGAAATAAAGTGAATTTGTGCATTTGAATGTGTTTGAAAGACAAAAGCCTTCCAAAGACAAAGGCTTGTGTGAATAATGTGTAATCATGTAATCAATAAAACATTAACAGTAGTCTGATTACAAGTATTTTAAACTGTAATATAATCTATTATTACATTACAAGTACTTAATTTTTGGAATCTGATTATGTAAACCAGATTATATGTAATCAGTTGCTACCCAGCACTGAAAATGACCATGATATTACACATTTTCTGATTATTATTATTATTTACATTTTTTTTTTTTTTATGGACAGTTTTTGGTCACGGCTTTATTTACAGTTTTTTCCAATTGCTAACACACAATTTTTCAAACTAGTCTGGTTTTATCAAAAAACTTAACACAATTCACAAAACCACACACCCAAACTGCAAAATACCTCATATATCCTGCAAAATGAAGCACTGCAACCGAAACTACACATAGCATTATCAAAAGCAAACTTTTGCATGAAATGGCACACACTTCATTCATATTACCAGATTTTTGCCTAACCAACTACACACTGTTGGGCATAATGAAAAGCACCCCCATCTTTAGTATGCTTTGCCATAATACTAAAATATGTATCAGATTGTTCACATGCACAGAAATATTTGCAGATACACACACACATGCTGTTGCAACATTTATTTATTTGTTTTCACTACAGTCAACAAGTCAGTGCAACATATGCACAGCAGATATATTTACATGGGACTGAACAAAAATATTCTTACAAAAAACAGTAAACTGAAAAAGAAAATTTCAGAAAAAATATATTACAGTAAAACAAAGAGGCAAGAAAAATAATTAGGCAGCATCTTGCCGCACAGCCGGGTCTGGCCACAACGCCTCGTCAACATCACAGGCAATATCTTCCCTTGCCAGACATCGAGGGAAGAAGCGCCTTGAGTGCCTTATCCATCCCTGAATTGCACCCACATCAATCTCATCACATGCCTCTTCCATGGCCTGCACAAGAGGCATGCGCACAAAGGGCTGCCGGTCGTATACCTTCCACCGCCATGCCGAAAAGAACTCTTCTATGGGGTTCAGAAATGGTGAGTATGGTGGGAGGTATTGCACAAGAAATGTTGGGTGGTCAGCAAACCAGTTTTGGACTGGGGCTGCACGATGAAAGCTCACGTTGTCCCATACTACAACGTACCGGTTTCTTTGATGGTCTGCATCATTCATACGCTCTGGTGGTATGAGAATGTTTTGAAGTCTGTCCAGAAATGTGAGAATATGGGCTGTGTTGTATGGTCCAAGGTTGGCATGACGGTGGAGGACACCATGCATACTGGAGATGGCAGCGCACATTGTGATGTTCCCACCACGTTGGCCAGGAACATCTATAATGGCTCTGTGGCCAATGACGTTTCTCCCCCTTCTTCTGGTCTTTGCTAGGTTGAACCCAGCCTCATCTATAAAGATGAACTCGTGGGATTGCATGAGCGTCCATTTCCAGTACTCCCTGAAAACAAAGAACAAATATCAGTCAATATGGTGTTATCCAGTACACTGGGAAACAATGTTGCGTGTAGTGTACTGCAGTCAATATAGTACTTACATCCACATATGCTCGTCTGAACTCTTTGTTTCTTTGAGAGTTTCTCTCAAACGGCACCTTATAAAGTTGTTTCATTCTGATTTGGTTTCGCTTGAGAATGCGAGCCAATGTGGACAGACTGACTCGTTGAATGTTGTTGAATAAGGTGTTGTCTTGGATGATGTGGCTTTGAATTTCTCGTAATCTGATTTCATTATTTTCCAAAACCAAGTTTACAATGGCAGCTTCCTGTACCCCGGTGAACATTTGGCCCCTTCCTCCACCATGGTGTCGTCTCTCAGTCCTTCAGAAAAAATAAAATAAAAATATATATAGGGCTTGGACAATGCAGCCTAAATATTTTCCCCCACAGTAGAGTACATTGTACAGGAAACTTGTACAGTTCATGAATGGCTGATGTCATACACTATGTAAACAGGTGTCACCCAACAGATACACTATGACATGGGGTATACTACATGTGTACTACATGAAATTTTGGTTACATACCTGTTCTCCAGTCTAAAGGTCCGGATGACAGAGGCGACAGTAAAACGGCTCAAGTTTGGCTGCACTCGCTGTCCAGCCTCACGCATTGTCAGCCCATGGTTGATGACATGATCTACTAAGGTTGCTCTGATTTCATTTGAAAGTTTTTGTCTTCTTTGGCCATGAACTCCTCTACCTGCTCTACCCCTACCTCTCACTCTTCCTCCCCCTCTTATTCTCAACCTCCCTCTTCCTCTTCCTCTCTCTGCAATGTCTTCCATTGTGGTTGTAAAAAAAAGGTTCTCACCTGTGGTCTTTTCACAGTGCTTACCTCCTGATTGAAGTGTTAACAATTAACCATTGAGGTGTTTGGCCAGGTGGCACATGTAATTGGCCAAGTAGCTCATGTAGTGTCATTTTGAATGGCAGTGTTTTGAAATGGCAAACATGTGACTTTATGTCAGATTGTTGTGTCTTATGCAGAGAACTGTGTTCAGTGCATTTAAAAAGTGCCATTTTGAAATGCAAAATGTGTGTAAAGCAGAAAATGTGTTTAGACTTTTGGAGACTTGAGAAGAAGTTTTGCTCTCTGTGTGTCAGTTTAAATAATTGTGCTGTGCATGTCATTTTAGTGTGTTAGCAATTGGAAAAAACTGTAATGTTAAAAGGGTTTAATGTGAATCAAGTATCAGTTTTCATGACCTTACAGCCATGAGAGTGACAATGCATATCTTACCTCAGATATTGCAAATAAAGAAAACAAACAAGTGTATTCTATGATAAAGATTTTATCAGTCACTCAGTGTGCATTTTTAATAATGGTAAAACGGTTTATTATATATTTATCCATTTCATTGCAAGTGCAGTGCATGTTCAGAGAGATGCTCTGCACCCACACTTTTGATTGGCTGTGATTTTTCGTAGATGTTTCACGTTTGGTGTGGTCAGACAAATGATTATATTCTCTGCAATATTATCACATTAGGTTTGAAATTGGAGGACCAGATTCAGTATGCACCTTATTGATGACCCGTGGCGTTATTATACTGCATCTCTGTCAGCGCGTGATGTAATAAAACTGCAGCTGGTCAGCTAAAAAAAGTTTTTTGTTTGATCCATTTTATACAATCCGCCATTTAGCAAGTGCACTCGCGAAAAAAAATAAAAAAAATTCATAAAAAAAATTCAAATTCAACACTTTTTGTTCCATTCAGCTGTAGATGCTGCTGATAGAGCAGCTTATTCACCCAGACCACCGCGGCCCCACAAAGAGACATGCGTTTGTGTGTGTGTGTGTATCCTTTTTAAAAAAGTTTCCCCGGAAATACTTCCATATTTAATGCAATTTTGTTCTTTACAAATTGTATTATCAGCATTACAATAGTAATGTAAAAGGTAGCGGCGGATGCCTCCATCTAGAACAATGTGCATTTATGTTTAAACTGTAACATAAATGATCATGTTTATGATTCTCATTTCTTTATCACAAAAAAAAACTAGCATAAATCTCTCTTTTTAACCCATCTCATGGTGTATGTTGCTGAAATCTCGTATCAAATTCTAATGGTTTTGTATTCTTTGCATTGTTCTAAACATTAATACTTTATGTGCAACAATAGCATGCTCTGGCTCAGTGGCCTTACACCTGATTTCAAATCTATTTTTTCAGACATTATGATTTAAATGGTGATGAGTGTACCGAGAATAACTCTTTCATCTTTTCATCACTTTAATAGCTTTCCACTGTTGTTTTGATGTATTTTAAAGAGTTGGCAGTCAAAATTAAAACTGCTGGATGATAGATATTCTTCATTCTTTCTGACAAACGACAAAAGATCATGTGCATTACAATATGTAAAATGTTCTCTAAATGCTTAAACTGCAGTAGAATCCGCAGCTCACTACTCACTACTCACGAGTACTTTTACTCTTACTCAAGTAGTTTTTTGGACAAGTACTTTTTACTCTACTCACACTACATTTTTTGGAATGTAATGGTACTTTTACTTAAGTATATTTTTTTAGCACTCTTTCCACCACTGTTGCAAAGTTACTAGTCAACTTAATTTCTAAAGGGGACCATCGACTTCCATCATAGCTCTGAATGGCTTTTTAGCCACTTTACAAAATACGGACAGGCTGATTCTTGGACTGAAAGCACTTGGTCTGGGTCTTAGGGTTTGATGTTGGTCTGGATCTGCATCTGGTCTGGTATTAAGTCTGGTCTTTACTCCAAGTCTGTTAGTATTAGATGTCAAGTACTGTAATATTATCATCAGATACCATCATTGACTACGAGTCAAGGGGTGAATGAAATAATCACACAAACAAATGTATCTTGTTTTAAGGATGTTTAGATATTTGTACTGGATTTTGAAATGATTTTGGCAGTGTTTAAAAGGTTCAAATGAAATGTCATGGTCTTATGTGTGAAAACTGAAGATGAGACCTCAGTATTCCATTAAATGAGGAAACAAGTGGCGTAATGTGTAACATGTAACATGTCCCAATGAGGTCCAATGTTCAACTGCAGGAGCAAGCTTGGTTGTCCCTGTCTTCCCACACCCTCCTCTCTCTCTCTCTCTCTCTTTCTGTCTTTGGCTGAGTCCCTCTGAGCACTGCTGCTTAGGAACGAGTGGATTCTTAACGGTGTCTCCATGGCGACCCGGCAGGGGAAGGTCACAGTCTGTGGGTTGGGAATGTTTGAAGGTCTGCTGGAAACACACGCCAGCAGAGAGCGGCTGATCTTTGGCCTGTCTGCTTGTTTTTAAGGACACTCTGTGTTTAACTCATTGGGTGTTTGTTCAAACAAATATTCTTTACAGTCATTGTTTCCCAGCATTAACCTGAATATAAGAGCATGCTACTCAATCCTGCTTGTGAAATTACGGATTTGGTTGTGACCTAGTCAGAAAGGTGAAAAATATCTCATCTCGTGAAATTGTGCAAAATCCTGTGAACTCACTGTCAAAAGCAGGTACGAGAAGAGATCATGTAAACCCTGTGAACCTTGTAAACAAAAGCTGAATTTACTCCAAACATTTAACTAAACTTGTGCTAAATTAAGTTATTGCATCTCTCATAACTCTATTTCATAAAAAAGCGATATTAACCGGTTAACTAGTTCCAGGTTTCACCTCAGATTTGTGATTGTTTCAATTTAAATAGGATCGCATATAGAACATATGAAGCCAATCATGATTAAACTGGATTCTCTCCATGCATACTGTATAAAACTGCCTCTCTACTATATAATACACCTTCATCTAAACTGATGTGATGCACAGAACAGAGTCCATGTTTACTGAAAGGAACAGTTCACTAATGTGACGACACACAAAACAGCTATAAATAAACCTGAAAAGAGCTAAAGCCTAGTTGAATTCTTAATAATAACTACTTGAATATGCCCATAAGTTCTTATGCTTTGACCAAGCATATATAATTACATTACTCAAGTGCATGGGCTTATGGGAATTCCCCACGGCCTCATTTTGTACCTAGTCATTTTGAGATTTTCAAGATTTCTGAGAAAATTATTATTTTTTTTTTAGGTAAATTTGCTTTAAATGTTTGCTCTGTCTAGTAGGGATAAAACATAGACACACATGAGACAGCTGTTGACACAAGTGTAAGAACATAGAGCTATACTGAATTAATGTGGATAACAGTGCAAATAATTTCATCTTCTCTACACAAAAATCATTTTCCTGAAACAAGATCAATTTGCTTTGAGATGTAAAATTGCATAATATAATTAGACTTGTTTTCAAAGAATATATCTTGAATTTAGTTACTTTTGCCTACACATAAACCTCACTAAACTGTAATTAAAACCATTAAAACAAGATAAATCAGGTAAGTAATATTTGATGGCTTTTTTTTTTAGAGTAAACATGCTGCACTAGTAGAGTCATCTCAGGGGAAAAAAACATACTCAGACGTACTTTAGCTAAAGTTTTCATTTGCTGTCCATTTAATCTCATTTCAAAGATATTTAAGAAATCTTATTTGTGAATATTCTTTTAAAAGGGAGAGTATACTGTATTCTTGAGATAATAGGAAGTCTTATATTAATAAACACACATGATAAGATGACGATATTCATATCAGATTCATATCTAACTATCATAACTAAAAATTGCATATAACTAAAAATAAACATGTGACCACATTCCTGGAGGATTACTTTTTTTTTTTGTTCATTCCAGTTAAATTTGTATAAATGGAAATGCATAATAGTGTTTTGTATGGGAATAGCATAGATTTCATGAAAGCAAGAGGGATGATAATCTGCAAAAATCTGTGTGTGTGTGTGTGTGTGTGTGTGGTGTGGTGTGTGTGTGTGTGTGTGTTGGTGGGGGAGGGGTGATCGACGCTCAAAGGGAGTTTGAGAATAACACTGAATGCTGACCTTTACACACACACACACACACACACACACACACACACACAAACACTCATCCCTACTCATTTCTATTATTTCACAAATCAATGAACCATCTCTGATATGTCACACTTATATGATTAACATAATTAGGATTATATAAACCAAGAGCTTTCATGCTGAGAAATATTTCAACAGCTTTCCAGTATTTTTCAGTGTTTAAGCAGCAGCAGCACTGTGTTTCGATTTGCTCTAAACTCCCAACGGTAAATATCAAACTGCAATACATTCAGCCTGAGCCTGTAAACATACAGATTATTTTATAGATCATTTCAGTCTTGTGTGATAGATATCTAATCTGTATTTGTAAACAGACCTTTAAGATTTAAATCACCAGTTACACTGATTGAATGTTCACCATTTAAAACGCAACCAGCAGTGATGATGTCATGGTAATCCTTGCATAGGCTACTCAATTCTCATTGGTCATTCTTCTTAGATGCATTTGCATACTGAATTGTGATTAGGCTTTCCTTTACAATGCAACTTTACACTGCAAAGAAAATGGGTCTCATTCACTAAACGTGTATACACATGAATTTGTACATGAAATCTGCCTAAAATATGCATTCAAAAAAAAAAAGAGTGAAGAGTTCAAAGTACACATACACAAAAATCGCTCTGGGTGACTTTATAATCATGTTGATGACATTTTACACATAGATATTTAACCTTAAATATTTGTTTCAACAAATACAGTGAAAGAGTAAGACAAGCTGTACTTACTATAGCTTGAGCTGTGACGTGCAAAAAGGAAAAGTTGTGTGGAAAGCCCTTATATGGAAATACTTAAGGCGTGTTTTATGCAAATGACTAATCTGGCACACAGTAGCTCATTTGGAATACTTGAAATTCATTAACATTAGAACGAGGTTAAGAACAAATTAGTGTGTGTATGCATGTGTTGTGAATTAGGCAGAAATGTTTCAAAAGAGAACTTCTCCTGCACATACAAATACTAAATGTGACCCTGGACCACAAAACCAGTCATAAGGGTATTTTTTTTTATTTTAATTGAGATTTATACATCGTCTGAAAGCTGAATAAATAAGCTTTCCATTGATGTATGGTTTGTTAGGGATAGGACAATATTTAGCCGAGATACAACTATTTGAAAATCTGAGGGTGCAAAAATATCAAAATACTGAGAAAATCGCCTTTAAAGTTGTCCAAATGAAGTTCTTAGCAATGCGTATTATTAATCAA